TCGCAAGATTCAAGAGACTCAAAGTCAAATGAATCCAGAAGACCTTCAGAATGAAGCTTCTGAATGCGCTTCTCGTTTATATGGCCTAGACGACTATGCCAGAGGAAGGTCGGGTTTAAGTCGTTCGGCCTAAACCGTTTAGTACTCACGCTATAGATTGATCTGCATCTAGACGGTTCGTCATCCAAAACATAAAGGCTATTAATATGGTAACCGTTACCATAAAATAAATCCCCTATGGACATAACGCTGGGGGGGGGGGAATTTGTTTAAGATTTATGCATAATTTAATTAAAGTGAGGCTTATAAATTTAATTAATTCACTAATCAGTTAATTAGAGGGGTTAAAACTTAAAACAGTGTTTGGTTCGGAAACCGGTTGTTTTTCCCTCGTGCGCACATCCCAAACCCGTGTGTTACTTTAAAAAAAAAATATGTGAGAAATTGATTTATTTTATTTTTTGTTATTCTACAAATGTAATTAGGACGCGTATTTATTAATTAGTTGAACAATCAAAATATAACAAGGGTCCAAATTGTTTCCATGGAATAAAATTCCTAATTATTTTTCAACAACGATAATATAAAATTATTTAAGCCCATCTAACAAATATTTACAGCTCACTTGAGTCAAATCGTTCCGGTGGTCGTCGAACGACAATATTATATTGTCACAAAAATAAATATACCAGTCCAAAGTCTAATTTGGCCTTTTCCTATACGGAAATTTACACCAGTCCAAAGTCTAATTTGAATGAGAGGTTTATTTTCCTTTATATATATATGTGTATATATTTACAAAAATATGTTATGGATGTTATGGGAAATCGACAACGTTAGAAAAAATTTAAATATTATACGATTTATGTTAGAAATAACCACTCTCATTAGTGTTTTTACACTTATAAAAAGGAACATTAATATTTTCAGATGGACAGAATCCGGATGTTACACAAATAAGTTATATAAAACATTAGATAAAGGTTGGCTGCTTTATAATGTCGGTCGGTCGAAGAATGACATCAAGGACGAGGAAAAGTCTCTCTTTATCTTTCTTATTCTTCGTATTTCTAAATGAGAATTCACCTTTTTGCATGGAAAAAAATTGTTTATGACTAATTATTTAATTAAAGCAAGACTTATTAGATTAATTAATTAATTATATAAAAGCAGTCAAAAACACTGTTCCGAAACTGGAAGCTCTTTAAGACTGGTTGGCAAGGTGGTACCATTGAATTATCCATTTGGAGTTATCATATTATAGATCCTATTTAGCATGTGATTACAAAATTATATTTTTATTTGACTTAATTTATTTTTTAATTTTATCTCACAAATATTGGATACGTACGAAAGTCAAATCTTGTAAATGTTATAAGGGCTGTCAAGAACGAACTCCGAGAATTGAGATCGTAGTTTCGATAAAATATAAATTATTGTTGACCGGTAAAATTTTACGAGATTTGAAAAAAAAAAAATTTCTAGATTTTTTTAATTTTAAAATTGTAGAGAATAATAACATAATTTTAAGGTTTACGAATTTAGGGTTTAGAATTTAGAATTTAAGGTTTATATAAATTTATACCCTTGTCTCGAATTATCGGGAATTTACAAAAGTACCACTGTTGGACAAGCTTAACGGATCATGCAAAATTACCCTTTTACCCTTCAATTCGTCTCTCGTGCTGTCTATAAAACGTCGCGCTTCGACAAGTGGCTTGAACCCTCTCCTTCTCTCCGAGGATCTCCCATTCTCCGACACATTTTTATAAAATTACATTACCATAAGACCGAGACAAGTGAAGCGGTTTAATAATACCACAAGGCGGAACAAGGACACTTTTTTTTTTTTTTTTGATAATCAGGTATTTTTTTGGATCGAAATCCAAACTAATTTCGAAATAGAAAACAAACGATGTGGTCTCCAATTTGAAGTTCAAACTTGAAATAAGACAAACGCTTTCAATTTTTATTTAATCGGTTAAACTATTCAAATTGGATAGCAAAAACAAATTTCATATAAAAATCCGTTGAAGAAGTTTCGAACAAGATCTCCATTTACCAAAAATAAAAATAAAAATAAAAATAGTATAGATGTGATGGATATATATAATTCCAGGTCCGATATATATATATATTCGATATTTTATACATAAAATGATATTCTGTCAAACTTGTACAATGGAGACTTCTATAGTTCTATGTTTAGACAAAGAGTGTATGGTTCGGTTTGGATTTATTGATAGTAAATTTGGTCCGGTTTAATTTGGTTAGGGTACATCTTTTTCCTTATTTTTAAGAATCAAATTCTAGAAAATTTTATATAATCTATTAAAATTCTCTCTCGAAATTCAGTACCGAGTATTATCATTTTATTGTGAAATTCGAAATTCATATAAAAAGGAGAAGCATATATTTGGTCAAACGCTAATTCGGGGAGCGGCCCCCCTTTTGGAGAAAATTCATTCCCGGCGGCTAACCCTTTCTTCTTATTTAAATTTATTAAAATATTAATAAACTAAAACCTCAAATGATTTTTTCTTTTCTTCCCCCTAAACGCTAACCAATAATGTATATACCCATATATTTTTGGCTTGGAAATAATCTTTGAAAATATCTTCTTCCCTCTGCTGTGTCTTTGAACACGTCACAACTTTGGTTTCTCTCTCTCTTTTTTCATTTCGTTGGAAGGTACGAGAGGTGAGTTCTGTTTGGTTTCTGAGAAAACAACAAGAAAACATGGGTTTTATTTTCTCGGCCGAGAAAATAAAGTGCGTTCTTCTTCTGGGTTTTCTTCTCTTCGCTTGCCTTGCAAGTCTGCGATCAGATGCTCAACTTTTACCCGGTGATGAAGGTACAAAATCTGATCTTTATTTACAAAAAAGAACTCCATACACATAACCAAAATCATGTTTGTTCATATACGTGTGTGTGTGAATACATCATCTTTCTGGGTTAAGTTCGATCTTAAAGTCAAGGCACTTGTTCTTTGTGTCTTTTGGTTTCCACATTCCATTACTTTGATTTTGATTCTGTTTTCCGTTTTCTAATTATATGGAAATGTTTTTTTGTTAATTGAAAATCGTACTTAATTAGTTCATATTACTAGCTATCATGATTCGTGCTAAGTAAACATAATACACAAAGGTATACTTACACTTATACACATACAAACACATAAGATATATTATATGCTTTGCGATGATAATTAAATTATAATTATTTACCATTTTTCAGTAAACTAATAAAATTGTAAAACATGTTTTATGATTGATTTCTTCCCTCATACCTGTCAGTTCTGTTCATATAATTTCATGTAAATCGTTTCCCAGTTTGGCATAGTCTCCATTAAAGTTGTTCACATGCAATTTCTTGAGGTGGTTGAAGTGAACTATATATGTATATGTATATATTCGCTTTTCTTATTATACTGTCAACATTGGAAGCAACGAATTTAAATTTGAATGATAATCTGTTCCATTCATTGAATGCCGTGGACCCACCACATTAATAATTGAAGCGACATGATAAACCTTGTCAAATTTTTCAACACGATATTTTCCGTACGATCGTTCCCAGTGCTTAGTGAATACCGTACGGTATTATCTTGCAACTGATTCGCTTGAATCAAAATCCGACACGAAGTATATTGACACTGTGTATATATATACGTATATAAAAAAATTTATGATTCGTATGATTTTGACGCATACGTCCGTTTTGCATGAAAGCATACGGTCCAAGAGTATTATTACATAGAAAACAGCTACGCATAATTATTGTTTTAATCTTATTTTTTTCAAAATTTATCCATTGTCATTTTCGAAGAAGGTATAAAGAGGATCTATATGATGTCAAATATATATACACACATATATATATATATATTACACACGCACATATATGAACACGCATAACATACCAAAGAATACTTTTAAATTAAAAGTTCTCCCAAGTAGGCAACTTGGTCTTGGTCCATATCGACGCGTAGATTTTTTTTTTTTGGAGGATAGAGTTTGATGAGATATTTTCTCTACATTTTTAATTATCGATTTCATCTCTCTGCCTTCAATAAATATTGTTACATGTCAACGTCACGATGTCAGCATTTACGGAGACCAATCTGTTCTGATAAGCCCCAAGTTTATCGGTTCCTGTGTTCTGTTCTTTTTTTTTTGGTTTAATTAATATAAATTGGATTCTTTTTTTTATAACGTAATGTAAATCGGGATATTGCCCAATTGGCTAAATACTTGGCACAAATACCGTGTAAATCCGTATAAAATTTCTTACAAGTAAAGATTATTCGGACCAAAAAAAATCATTTTTTTTTTGTTTAAAAAAAAGATTGACATTGTTTTGACTTTTTTTTTTTTTGGGAAACAGTTCAAACACTAAGAACAATACTCACGAAGCTACAGAACAAGACGGTGAACGTGGAAAGGACATCTTGTAATGACGGGAGATGGAACTTCAACACGAGTTCCACAACTAACCTGATCAAGTGTGACTGCACCTTCAATGGCAGTTCCCTCTGCCACGTCACCAACATGTAGTAACCCTTTTCCCCATCATACCATTTCTTCTTCTTCTTCTAGGGTTTCTTGATTCACTCTATTTGTTTTCAATGTTTGGGCAGACAGCTTAAGGGCTTTAGCTTACCCGGGATTTTCCCTCCCGAGTTTGGGAACCTCACGCAATTGCGAGAAATGTACGCCGCTTTCCCGCAAGATCTCTTTTCTTGTCTCCTCTTTGGTTCCGCCATTAATGGGGATCGTACTGTCTGAAACTTGGAACTCAAGGCAAATGATGAAATCTTGATATATATATATGTATATGTATATATTTCTTACAGTGATCTTACTCGGAACTTTCTCAATGGATCGATTCCTGCGAGTTTGTCCAGGATTCCGCTCGTCATCCTGTAAGCCTCCGGCCTTTGTTGATTTCTTTTCTAATAATCAAGCCAATGATTTGGCTGATTTGTCACATTTGGACCGACATATTATGGTTTCTCGTACATTTTATTTAAGTTCATAAGGAATTTTGTTCTTATTCCTGTCAACAGATCAGTTATTGGAAACCGGCTTTCAGGGCCGATTCCTCCTGAACTCGGAGACATCCCTACGCTCACGGATGTGTATGTCGGAAATCCAACACCCTTTTCTTCCAAGCAGATTGAGAGTTTTGTTTGGTCGTGTATGAATGTGTAGGATCACTTATCTTTGGAAAATTTTCAGGAATCTCGAAGATAATTTGCTCAACGGAACACTTCCCTCGAGCCTCGGGAACTTGACAAGCCTCGACAGATTGTAATATCCCTCATATTTTTGTGTGTTTTCGATTCAAAAACACGTTTTCCGTTACTGCAGTTATAAGTTGTGGAGATTTTGCTTTATACGTTCAGGCTTCTTTCCGCGAACAACTTCACGGGTAGAATCCCCGAATCCTTTGGCAATCTCAGGAACTTAACCGACTTGTAAGTAACCGAGAAACCCGAGCTTTTCGCCCGTTATGAAACAGTTGGATAAATCCATAAAACGTGTTTTTTTTTCTTTCAATCTTGCAGTAGGATTGATGGAAACAGTCTATCGGGGAAGATACCTGAACTGATCGGAAACTGGACTTTGCTTGATCGATTGTGAGTACCGTACAGATTCTTGGATTATGTTTCAAGAACGTCTCTGTTTCTTGGACTAACCCTAATTCCTGTCTCTATCCATTGTGTCACAGAGATCTTCAAGGGACATCAATGGAAGGGCCACTTCCTGCTGCATTATCCAGCCTGAAGAACTTGACAGAATTGTAACCAAAACGTGTTCTCGGCCTCTTTTTTTCCTCTCTGCTTCAGATTGTGGAGATTAATTCTGTTGTTATGTTTTATTACGATACTTGGTATTCAGGAGGATAACCGATTTGCGCGGACCGCCCTCCCGTTTCCCAGATCTTCGGAACACAGCGAATTTGGAACATCTGTAAGTTCGGCATTACCTTTCAGATTTGGTTATTTCCATTCTCGTCACCTGTTTTCTTCATCAGGGTATTGAGGAGCTGCTTAATCACGGGGAACATTCCAGAGTACATTGGATCTATGAGTGAATTGAAGACACTGTAAGTAATGAAATGTTCTACATGTACACTGATTAATCTACTGGTTTAAGGCATGAACTGAACGTGTACCATGTTGTTGTTGTTGCAGAGATTTAAGCTCAAACATGCTAACCGGTCCAATCCCACAGACACTTCAGGGTCTGGCCAAATTGGATAACTTGTAAGATCAAAGATCAAGATAGATGATAGTACCGATTCTTGATAGCGTTTAACATGAAACATCATCTCCTTCTGCTTTAGGTTTCTGAACAATAACTCATTGACTGGTCCAGTTCCTGGATTCATCGCTAACAGTAGAGAAAACAGGTGAGGAATAAATCGTCTTAGATGGAAAGAAATCGATATTAGGCTTAACGGGCCGTTTCTTTTATCGGTTTCAGGGATTTATCTTTCAACAATTTCACACAGCCAGGGGCTGTAAGCTGCACCCAGAATAATGTGTAAGCATTTGGTCATCAGCTCGTTGTTGTTCTTATTGGCATTGGCTGCCTTTAAGCTCACATAAAATCTTGTTTCTGATGAAATTTCTTCATGGACCAACAGGAATTTGATCTCGGCTTACCCGTCAATAACGGATGATTCGTGAGTTTCTAACCTTTTTTCAATTCATATATATTAGCCACAAAGGAGGAATCTTTACCTGAGACACTCTCTTCTTGTAGTGTTCAATGGTGCTTAAGGAAGGATCTTCCATGCCCGGGAGATGCAGACCGTAAATATTTACGCACATATACATCTCGATACATAAAACTTTCTTCGGGAAATAGATTCGGTAACACAGCTGATTAACTGGCTTTACAGATCATTCCTTGTTCATAAACTGTGGAGGAGAAGGAATCAGGGTTGGCAAGAACACGTACGAGGAAGACTTGAACAGGAACGGAAGATCGGTGTTTAACTCAGTTTCAGACAAATGGGGATACAGTAGCACCGGAGCATTCGTGGGAAATGACAGTGCCGATTTCTTAGCGGTAAACAGATTCAATCTCTCTGTCGAAGACTTCTACAGAACAGCCCGTCTCGCTCCACAGTCACTGAGATACTATGGACTGTGCATGAGGAGAGGAAGCTACAAAGTTCAGCTCCATTTCGCTGAAATAATGTTCAGTAATGACCAGACATACAACAGCTTGGGACAGCGAAAATTCGATATCTATGTCCAGGTGAGTTTACAGAAGCTGAAAGAAAAAACATCCAAGATTTCGGTTCTTGTTTCATTCTTCGGATGTCTGGTTTTAGTAAGAACGTGTGATGAATATCTCAGTGTTTGGGTTCGGTTTTTTGTTCTTTTTCTGCAGGGAAATGTGATTAAGAGGGATTTTGATATAGTAGAGATTGCTGGTGGAGCGGGTATAGGATATACAGAGACCATTAATAACGTACAAGTGAATGGAAGCACAATAGAGATTCATTTGCAGTGGTCGGGGAAAGGAACATCGGCCATTCCGACAAGAGGTGTATACGGTCCTCTCATTTCAGCAATTACTATAACACCAAGTAAGATTTCCCGACACAATCTGATGACAATTTATAGAATCATTCTGCAGTTCCAACAAGTGGGGAGCATATGTTCAAATGTTCTGCCTTTTCTTTGGGTGTTTCAGATTTCAAGGTTGATACTGGGAAGCCATTGTCCAATGGAGCAGTTGCAGGAATCGTGCTTGCTGCATGTGTTTTCGTCGCGTTGATAATAGCCATTATCCTCAGGCGGAAAGGTTACTTAGGCGGAAAAGAATCATATGACAACGGTAAAGATCTTCCCTCGTTCTTGAAACATTCTTGTCCAGTTCAGTTCCCAGTTGTCTGGAACTTATCTGATAATTATCTTTTTACATCGTCTTCCAGTTCCAGAGCTCCGTGGACTCGATCTGCAAACGGGTTCTTTCACTTTGAAGCAAATTAAACGAGCCACGAACACTTTTGATGTGGCAAACAAGATAGGTGAAGGAGGGTTTGGTCCAGTTTACAAAGTAAATACCTCGAGTTTAACTGTTCTGTGATTCTGAGACCAGATCAATGTCAAAGACATGTCTTAACATGACAGCTTTTGTCAATCCTCAGGGTGTGTTATCTGATGGGACAACAATCGCTGTGAAGCAGCTTTCTTCGAAATCAAAGCAAGGAAATAAAGAGTTTGTTACCGAGATTGGAATGATATCCGCTCTTCAGCATCCGAATTTGGTGAAGCTTTACGGATGTTGCATCGAAGGGAAAGATATGTATTTCAATAAAAATAACAAAATATGGTATTTTTTATATAATGGCCAATTAACGTTTTTATATGTAGAAAGGTCCTTTTATTTGAAATATATATATATATATATATATATATAAGAATTTCTAAATTTCTCTCTCTCTCTCTTTGGATTTCAATTGATCTTCTTGTTTAACACTTAGATCATTATAATCAAGATTTAAAAAAAAATCCTATTATATATATATATAGATGTATATATATATATATCTTCTCCGTCCTATCTCGTGGAACGGGAAAGAGCTTTTACTCGTTTACGAGTATCTGGAGAACAACAGTCTCGCCCGAGCGCTTTTCGGTAAGGATTTTCCTCTCAAGTCCTTTCGGAAACCAACCATTGATGTCTGGGAATGTAACACGGTTCATATGCTCTTACAGGACCTGAGGAACATAGGCTTCAGTTAGATTGGTCTACGAGGAAGAAGATATGTATGGGGATAGCGAAAGGATTAGCCTACTTACACGAGGAATCGAGATTGAAGATCGTTCACAGGGACATAAAAGCAACGAACGTTCTTCTCGACAAGTCTCTGAATGCCAAGATCTCTGATTTTGGACTTGCAAAGCTCGATGAGGAAGAAAACACTCACATCAGCACGCGGATTGCGGGAACAATGTCGGTTTCCTTCCTCCACCTGAACCTCAATTAACATCGAAATTGATTCGATCAAAGTACTTACTTACCTTCTGATGCAGCGGCTATATGGCTCCGGAGTACGCGATGAGAGGTTACTTGACAGACAAGGCAGATGTTTACAGCTTTGGGGTCGTCTGTTTGGAGATCGTCAGCGGAAAGAGCAACACGAATTACCGGCCCAAGGAAGAGTTCGTCTATCTTCTCGACGAGGTAAAAAAAGGAAGAACCTTTTCTGAAATTATTGCCATTTCCTTCTAACACTGTCTTCTTTTTATGTTCCTTCCATCCACACAGGCTTATGTCTTGCAAGAACAGGGAAATCTTCTAGAACTCGTCGATCTGAATCTCGGGTCTCACTACTCGAAAGAAGAGGCGATGCGGATGCTGAACCTCGCTATTCTCTGCACGAACCCGTCTCCGACTCTGAGGCCATCGATGTCATCTGTGGTGAGTATGCTCGAGGGGAAGATGAAGGTCCAGGCCCCGCTGGTGAAACGGGAAGCTGCCGCTGGTGCGGCCGCTAGGTTCAGGGCTTTCGAGCTTTTGTCGCAGGACAGCGAAACACAGGTCTCAAGCTTCGAACGGGAGAGACAAGATCAGAGTAATGTCTCGACCAATGCTCCTTGGATAGATTCTTCAGTCTCTCTGCCCAGCAAAGATGTGAGCCAACAGCAAGAATTCTCATCATCTTCATCGAGAAAGCTGTTAAACGATAAATAACATGTTAAGATTACAGATTCTTTATATGTCAGATTCAACAGAGGAGAGTTTGGTGTTCATATAGTGTTCTGTCTTTCTGGGTTACCCTAGTTAACTATTTACACATTCCTGCAGCAAAAGAATGAAAATATATGAACTGATATATGTATATATATATGTGTACACACACCAGATTCAAAGTTCTGAAACATTGAATACAGCATGAGGATGGAGAAAGCGAGAAGAGTATGGTGGTGAGACAAACGAGTTTCTTCATGAATTCAGATTCTTAATCAAAAAGCTCCGATTAGGGCAAGACCAGAGCTTACAGTTCCGAAGAGATGAGGGGAAGAAAAACGATAAGGAATCCTCGACGAAGCGCCCATCTTCGAATAGCGACGAGTCAGATCGCAGCAGTTTTATGGGTTTAAGTAAAATCGCAATCCCCATCGAAGAATCTTCAACGATTGCAGAACTCTGAAGCAAAATTATCAATCAAAAACTGGAAGAACAAGAGAATCCAACAAAAAACAAACAAATACAAAAAAAAAAGTTCGATTCTTCAACGATTCCAGAACTCTGAAACACAAGACGACGAATCGAATCCAGGAGGAAGAAGAGAACCCAGAATCAGAAAAGAAAAACGAATCCCAAAAAAATTTGGACCATTTCTCGATTTATGCGTGTCATCCTTGCGCAGGGGCCATGCTAATCTTCTCTGTATCGTTCCAATTTTATCGGATGTCCCCGAAGGGACACTCAGTGCTTCGACTCTCACAATATAAATAATGTAATATTTCTTTTCCATTGACCGATGTGGGACGAATGGAATATTTTCTCATGTTGGGCTTTTTGTTATATTTCTATAATAATACAGAGGCCGGGCTATATGTTTATGGGCCTCAATTTTCTATTCTTTTTAAGCCCATTATGAGACGGAAGACCGAAATAATCTTAGCCGTTGAAATTTTAATTTCACATCGGCCAGTTTGAAGCGTTTATTATTGTAAATCATCATACAGCATGTTTATGATTTTTTGTTCTGAAATTCTAAGATTGAGAAATTAGTTATTTGTACTTAAAATGCTATGCAAAAGAATTAAGAGAAAGTTAGAAATTAAAAGAACGAAGTAAAATATGATCATTAATTAATTCTTTATTTATCCTTAATAAGAGCATCAACCAAAAATAAATACGCACCCAAAAGGGCCAAAACTTAATTAAATGTACTCTTAGAATTCTTAACCAAAACCATGTCTGCCACATCTATGGAATTAGCAGAAATGAATATCCCATGAAAATTACCAAAACTTCTTCATTTTAAATTACCCGAATTTATTGAATCTCACGATTATTTTATTTAATTTTGGTTCTATTTTTGGTTATGCATCCAAAAACCTGAATACGAAATATAGATTTTCTTCTTCAAAATATGTATCATATAGGGTTACTTGGATCGGGCATCTCAAATATTTAGATTATTTGGATCAAAACCATATTTTTTTTTTTTTGGTCAAGCCCTACTGAAACACACTCTCAGATTCAATTTCAAACGACATAACGCAATTCAAAACCACACATGAACGGCGAATGCAAAAATGAGTGCAGCGTTCTTATTCCAAATCATTCTCCCTGCAACAAACCGAACCCGAATATATGAATATGAATATAACCGAACCGAACCCGAGATCGAAACCCTAAAAATATCCACAAAATAGCTCTTGCCCAAATACCTTCCCCATATTGGACAAGACCATGAACAGCAACACAACATAACCCAGTGAGCAAGTTCTTCTCTTTCCTTGTCTTTCTGCAGATTCTTATGTATCCTCCTGACAACAACAACAACAAAAAAACGGGACATAACTAGAAATTCCATTAGACAATAATCTCTCTCTTCTTCTGCAGTTCGGTCTACCCTCATCTACTGCTGTAATTGAATGGCACAAAATAATCACATTTGGCGATTGCAAGCCACTGTTATTCCACGTTTCAATTGCTCATAGCCCAGAAATTCAACCAAAGCACAAAACTGATGAACTTCTAAGATGAGCTTCTGAGGAATTATAAAGACGAACCTCTTCATGGATTCAGCTCTAAATAGTACATGAAGAGGAGTGTGATAGTTCCGAAGAGAAGAAATCACGGAAAGCTGCGATATCCGAAACCCAGAGGTTGGAAAAAAAAAACCCGACAAGGAATCCTCGACGAAGTGCCGATCTTCGAATAGCAACCAGAGAGATCGCAGGAGTTAAATGGGTTTAAGTGAATCTGCAAACTCCATCGAAGAATCTTTCAACGATTGCGGAAGAACCCAAATCGAAGAATCAAGACCTGGGAAAACAAGAGAACCCAACCAAAACAGAAAAGAAAATCGATTCTTCAACGATTGCAGATCTCTGAAACACAATACGACGAATCGAATCCAGGAAGAACAAGAGAACGCAGAAACAGAAAAGAGCAACGAATCCAAAAAAAATTTGGACCATTTCTCGATTTATGCGTGTCATCCTTGCGCAGGGGCCAGGGACACTAACTGCTTCGTCTCTCACGTTATAAATAGCGTATTATTTCTTTTCTATTGACCGATGTGGGACGACAACGAATATTTTCTCATTTTGGGCTTCTTTTTATGTGTGTAATGATTCATGGGCCTAGTAAAATAATCATGGGCCTAGTTTTCCAATTCAGTAAGCCCATTGGGATACAAAAGAACTAAGTGCAAGTGGAATTCAGTAGAGAAACTAAGTATGATCCGATCATTAACTATTTCTTAATATTATCGTTAATAATAGTCGCATCCATTTATGAAAATTAATATCTTCTGCAGATATATGATATATTTGCGGGAAAAAAAAAAAGCCTTCGGATTTTAAAATTCGCAACAAACAAAAATAAAGTAACTTTAGTAGTGGGTAGCAGCAACATGACGATGTCCGAATTGTATAATATTTTCTATCTATTGCAGAAGCACATCAACTTATGTCTTTCACATGCATGTCATCATTGAAAATAAAATAAATATATTCAACAAATATATATATATATATGAGACAAATACGTCTTGTTAAAGATAATCAAAATCAATAGATCGTCATTTCCGTGTTCGCTTCCTTTCCATTGTATACAATTTAACCAAATGAAATAAAAATATATAATCAAATTTTAATCGAATGGGATTTTAACTCTCACAGTAATATTATAAATTTAATCTAATATCTATATCTATGTATATATTTATATATATTCACAAATTCTAATATATAACCATATATACGTTAACCGAACCGGGATTCTAACTATATATCAGAGTAATATTTTTTTGTTACTACTAGACAACCTATTGCTATTGGAGCTCATGGTTTTGTGTGGTTTTTAAAATTTGTGAGAATTCCAAAAATAGATTTGGAGTAATTTTTTGTTATTGATAAATGACTAATTTGGTTTCTTAAATACAATATGAAACAAAAAAAGAAAATGAACCAAATAATTAACGAGACATTATCAAAAATACTCTTACTTTGTTATTTTGACTTCAATATATACTTTTTTACGGCTGTGACCATGTGATCCATATGATTTGAAATATAGTGTGAATACATTTTGATCTCATTGTTCATACCGTTAAATTTATGATGTTTTAATCAAATAATTAATAAGATATATAAGATATGAATTAGAGTGATCACCATAGATTTAACGTTATAATCAATAAAATCAAAATGTGATCACTTTATATTTTGGATCACATAGGTCATATAGTCACAGATAGATAAAGGTATGTATTTCAATAAAAATAACAAAATATGGTATTTTTTATATAATGGCCAATTAACGTTTTTATATGTAGAAAGGTCCTTTTATTTGAAATATATATATATATATATATATATATAAGAATTTCTAAATTTCTCTCTCTCTCTCTTTGGATTTCAATTGATCTTCTTGTTTAACACTTAGATCATTATAATCAAGATTTAAAAAAAAATCCTATTATATATATATATAGATGTATATATATATATATCTTCTCCGTCCTATCTCGTGGAACCATGTTGTTTCACGTTAGTGTATGGTTAGGTTCTTGGTTGAATTTTTTACTCTAACCAGCCCACTTACGTGTCCAATTTTTTAAAATGAAATATATTTTTTTCTTTTTCTTTTTACTAATTAATAAATGCTTTTATTGGGTGTTGTCTAACGACATGACCAGACCAATCAGAAAGCCACGTGTCTGACTCATATATAAATCAAACCGTTACGATGTTGCCAAGTCAGGCAGTCTGTCACTACCCCAATCTTTTTTTTTTTTTGAACTATCATCTTTATTTTACTTCCAATTCAAATCAACTACGACGTTCCCAACAAGGCCTTCCTATTTCTTTGATTTTAATTCAATTTTTTTTATAATATGCTTTTACTTCAACCTATATATATATATATTCAAAATGGTCTTTCTTCCTTCCTCGAGCATCCAACTTATATTGTCCATGTGTAAGGTGTCATGACTTGTGAGGGCGCGACACGTTTCACACTGTAGTGGCGATGAGGTAATTCTGATGAATTATAATATTAATGATCCAATATAATATTTTGCATTAGTAATAAACAATGCTTGGGTTTTGAAATTTCGTGGGTATTGAAAAAGTAAATATTTTTTTAATGGTTTTTTTTTTTGCTTTAGAACAAAGTCAGATGACAAATGTCAACACAAAGTACATTATCAAATCTCAGTTAAAAAGGAATGTATACATTTGTTTTCTTCATGAATCTGACCAAAACAGAACCAAACATGTAAGAATGAATAAAATTTTCTTCCGCTTTCTCAGAAACCAAACACCACTTAACGTTTGCTTTTTTCCTTTCTTTGTCTTCTTTAAGGATCCCGAGCTTCATACTCTTATCTGCAAGAAGAAATATCTCGACTTTTTCCAAGAAACAGAGCACCGAAAGCCCAGTTAGATCCCACTGTCAAGTTTGAATTTTGATACGGGACCCGTAATGGCCGTCGATTCGGATGACAAGAGACACATCGTCGTCAAGATCGACGGCGACGAAGGCTCCGTCGCTAACGCCGTTACAGGGTCGAGCAACAAAGCGAATGCCGGAAAGATCTGGCGGGAAACGAGCTACGATTTCCGACAAGGCGGAGACGGCGGCGAGAACGACGGTGAGTTTGATTTTACGCGGCGGAGGGAGAGGACTGAGGTGGCAGATCCGCCGTCGAGGCTCATCGATCGGTTCCTACACCAGCAGAAAGCCTCCGGCGAGATCTCACTCGACATGGATATCAACATGACGGAGCTACAGAGCAACACCGCGACGCCGTCACGTGGCCTGACGGCGATTTCCGACACTCCGTCTCCGGAGACGGCGACTAACCGTTTCGTCTCTGAATCTGGCAGGTTAAGGAATGCTGACGCCGTTAGACGGAGGCAGAGCACGGTTCTGCGTTCGCCGGCGAAGAAGGACTGTGAAGGCAGTGACGAAGAAGACGATGGAGATGAAGCAGAGGTTGTGCAGTGTAGCTCGAACAGGTCGTTGAGAAACAAGACCTTGATGAAGACGAAAACAAGATCTAGGTTGTTGGACCCACAGACGCCGGCGCATCCAGCGACGGACAAGACAGAGATGAAATCTGGTCGGATTCGGAAATCTGGGTTTATGGGTAAGAGCCCTAAGACGGCGACGGCCCACGGCGGTGGAACAGTGGAGGAGGAGGAAGAGGAAGATCCATTTTCCGACGAGGATTTTCCGGATGAGTTTAAGAAAGATAAATTCAGCTTCTGGGTTTTCTTGGAGTGGATAAGTCTGTTTGTGATCATAGCTGGTCTGATTTGCAGCCTTACTGTCCCTCGTTTGCGCGGCAAGAAACTATGGAAGCTTGATCTATGGAAATGGGCTGTGATGATTCTGGTTTTGATCTGTGGAAGACTGGTTTCGAGCTGGATCGTGAGGATTGTCGTGTTCTTTGTCGAAAGCAACTTCCTTTTGAGGAAGAGGGTTCTGTATTTCGTGTACGGAATCCGAAAGGCCGTTCAGAACTGTCTGTGGTTAGGGCTCGTGTTAATCGCCTGGCATTTCTTGTTCGACAAGAAAGTCGAGAGAGAAACTCGAAGCTCGACCCTTACGTATGTCACCAAGGTTCTGGTCTGTTTGCTCGTTGCTGTGATCGTATGGCTGGTGAAAACCCTTCTAGTTAAGGTCCTTGCTTCGTCCTTCCACATGAGCACATACTTTGATCGGATTCAAGAATCCTTATTCACTCAATACGTGATCGAAACACTCTCTGGACCTCCATTGATCGAGATTCAGAGAATAGAGGAAGAGGAGGAGAAACTATCGAACGAGGTGAAGAGTTTACAGAACGCAGGAGCTGCATTGCCTCCGGGTCTAAAGGTGACTTGCCCTTCACCTCACAGCGGAAAACCCGCCATCGGAAGTGGAAAGTTGCAGAAGAGTCCTACCAAAGTTGGGAAAAGTCCTGCACTTTCTCGTGTCGGTTCCAAGAAAGAGAAAGATGATGGTAAAGACGGTATAAGGATCGATCATTTGCAGAGATTGAACACTAAGAATGTATCCGCCTGGAGAATGAAGAGACTGATCAACATAATACGAAAAGGCTCTCTTTCTACATTGCATGAACAGATACAGGACACGACGACTCTGGAGGACGATAAGGCCACGCAGATAAGAAGTGAATACGAAGCAAAACTTGCAGCGAGGAAGATCTTCCAGAATGTTTCAGAACCAGGATCTAGGTTTGTTCAGCTTCCCCATTATCTTACATCTCAAGTTATTGTAATATTAAGGTCCGAGTTCTGATATTTTCTCTCAGGTTCATATATTTGGAAGATCTTCTGCGATTTCTGTCGGAAGAAGAGGCTGAAAGGGCCATGGATCTCTTTGAAGGAGCTTCTGAGAGCCATCGGATCAGCAAATCTTGTCTGAAAAATTGGGTGGTAAGTGTCAGTTCGATATCTCGAATCTCTGAAAACGAAAACAAACGGTCTGAAGATTCTGACTCGAGGGTTTCGGTTTAGGTTAATGCCTTCCGAGAAAGGAGGGCTCTCGCCCTGACTCTGAACGACACGAAAACAGCCGTTAACAGGCTTCACCATATCATCAATGTCTTGGTCGGAATAGTGATAGTAGTCATCTGGCTTCTTATACTCGGAATCGCCTCTACCAAATTCTTGCTTCTGATCAGTTCTCAGTTACTTCTCGCGGCTTTCGTCTTTGGAAACTCCTGCAAAACCGTCTTCGAAGCCATCATCTTCCTCTTCGTTATGCACCCATTTGACGTCGGTGACCGCTGTGAAATCGATGGCGTCCAGGTTTGAACATGGAATCAAAGAAATCGATGGTGGGTTCTTATGAAGTGAATTGTTGAAACTGATCCTCTGTTCTGTTCTGACATGGAACTGCAGATGATTGTGGAAGAGATGAACATCTTGACCACTGTTTTTCTCCGATACGATAACCAGAAGATCGTATACCCGAACAGCCTTCTCGGCACAAAAGCTATAGCCAATTACTACCGAAGTCCTGACATGGGAGACGGGATCGAGTTCTTCATTCATATATCAACTCCTGCTGATAACCAGAAGATCGTATACCCGAACAGCCTTCTCGGCACAAAAGCTATAGCCAATTACTACCGAAGTCCTGACATGGGAGACGGGATCGAGTTCTTCATTCATATATCAACCCCTGCTGAAAGGATCGCCGCCATGAAACAGAGGATACTCAGGTGAGTTCCATCCCATCAATGGCTTCAGACATGCAAGAGATGTGTTTCTTTTGAACATGAAGTCAGATTCTCTGGTAATTGTTTCTGCAGTTACGTGGACAACAAGAAAGATCATTGGTACCCGGCACCGATGATCATATTCAAAGACATGGACGGTCTGAACAGCGTGAGGATCGCAATCTGGCTGACGCACAAAATGAACCACCAGAATATGGGAGAGAGGTGGACGAGGAGAGGTCAGTTACTCGAAGAGATCGCCAAAATCTGTAAAGAACTCGATATTCAGTACCGGTTGTACCCTCTGGACATCAACGTTCGAAGCTTTCCTCAAGTCACATCAGACCGTGTTCCTTCTGGTTGGATCCAACAACACGGGAACTGAAATAGCTTTTTATGAGAGCTTTCTCAAGACCATGATGAGTTCAGGCTCTGGTTTTCGGTCATTGTTGTCTTGAACTGATGTTAGATCTTCTGGTGCCAATTTAAAAAAACGCAATATCCACGACTAGCTTTTACTAAAGGCCATATTTTTCGCTTTGGTCTTTGGACCGACGCTATGATATATTGACATCAAATTATTACCAACATCAAACCTGACATGAAGGTATCGGTTCATGGTTCTGGTAAAACCTTGGTAACATATACAAATTCCAACATTTTAGGACCTAAACTCTTTTCTTCGAGCAAGAGCACGAGTTAAAAACCGGTATTACGCAAAATAAGTAGTTTTTACCATGTTGAGTTTTGGTAAAATTTTGCAATCTAGTTCATTTTTACTGCCATTGGTTTGACGAATCGTAAACTTGGCGGGTAAAAAAAAAAACGCATCTTAAACGACGTCGTTTGGTTCCGAACCGTGAAGATGACGTCATTTGACCTATTTACCGTTTTGACCTTTTTTTTTGAATATGTTTAAAGAACAAGTATTGCTTAATCTTGGCGCCACAACTTATTTCCGGAAAATTTTTCGAGCGTTCCCTTTCTCTCGTCTACGATTCAAATCAGAGAACCAGAGAGGTAATGATAAGTTATCTTCAATCGGATATTTTTCCATTCGAATTGCATGTTTTCTTCTCTCTTGATCTGAAATGTCCGCTGATTCGAGAGCTGATCGTTGTGGATTTTGATGTTTTCCAGATTTTGATTTGTCCCAGTCAGTTTGGTTTTCGAGGAATTCTTGTGGTGTTCATTGAAGATCGGGATAATCAAATTTCTGTGAGGCTTGATTCGATCGACTCTGAATTGAGGAACGCGCAGGGAACTGTTTGTAGAGCCAACAAAACCGAGGATTCTACCAGGAAGACAAAAATCGTGGAGAATTGAATGCCTCTGCGGTAGGTTTCTTCAATAAACATAGCTGAGTTGATTATTGTCGGCGAAAAAACTCATTAGAACAATATTTCCATTCCGGCTCGCTGTGGTTGCTGAGAAATCTGGATCAGGTAGAATCTGACTGAAAAGAGAGAGAGAGAGAGAGAGAAGCGAGAAATCCAGAGTCTCTATGTTGCAACTTTGAGTCGATCTCTGGATCCGTGTAACTTGTTACAGTAAGTTGTTTTCCCTTCCTGTTGACTATATGTTGTACCGCGCGTTTGACTGCTTAAACTTGTTTTCCAGTAATTTGCTGATTGGTTCAAAATTGTAGTAGCTTGTTCGTGTGAGTCAATCAGTCTATGTCACTACACTGTTTAATTGTTGAGCTCTAAAGACCTATAGGTCTGTGTTGGATAGTTTATTGCACCCGTGCATAAATATTTAATTTTGTTTTCGGATTTCCGAATCTTTTTTATATGTTGAATGTTAGAAGTCAAGTCTAGAAACTTGGAAATCATTGGTAATGAACAGTATATGCAATCTGATTTGCAGGCAATTGAGATACTTATATTTGAGGTTGACATGAGGTGCAATGCGTGCTGGAGGGAACTGGAAGGCCGGGCCATTTCAACAACATGCGGTCACATTTTATGTATCCTACTCTACCCATCTGCTAATTGATTTATGATTTGCATACTGATTGATTTATGACTCCTGTATACTGTTGCCACATTAAGCTTGTCTATGGAAATGAGAAAGCTTGTAAATACTAAATAAGATTGCCTTAACATGAAAAAGGTACTGAAGATGCTAGTAAGATTATCAGTAACGATGGGGCATGCCCCATTTGTGATCAAGTTCTCTCCAAGAGGTAAAACTTTTCCTAGTCCACCGTTTTTCTGCCCAAGTTACCTTTTTTTAATATATACGAAACCACCTTGGTTCTGCCTAACAGTTTTTGTATTAATTTTCCCTACTTAGCCTAATGAAACCCGTGGATATCAATCCAAATGAAGAATGGATTAATGTAAGTGATTGCCTTGGATTAAGCAAGGATGCAACAGCTTTTGTGTTTTCTGTTTCAGTTCCCACCTAACACTTTCCACATTGTTTAACTTTGTTATCAGATGGCAATGGCTGGAATTTCTCCACAAATACGTATCCTCTCTTATTATATTCCCTTTTGGTCGGGTTTGGTAAGAAAATTTCAGTTACAATTACATTCTTATGCTGAAAGATGTACTGTATCGGCTGACATGGAAATTGAAGTGTGAAATGGTTCTACAATCTGAATGAGTTTCTGAAGCTATTAATGTCGTAGAACAACAGAGGGAAGGGTGACCAAATATCAATGCCCTTTCGCTTTTCTTGACTGAAACTAGTGATGAAGAGTGCATACAGAAGTGTGATGTTTTACATCTCGCAACGGGACTTAGAGATGCAGTACAAGATGAACAGAATAGTGGCTCAATGCCGCCAGAAATGTGAGGTGATGCAAGCAAAATATACTGAGAAGCTGGAGCAGGTGCACACGGCATATCAGAAGATGGCCAAGAGATGTCAAATGATGGAGCAGGAGGTTGAAACCTTGAACAATGATAAACAAGAACTCCAAGAGAAATTCTCTGAGAAATCAAGGTTTGTAATCTGTACAGTTTTCTTAAGTTATATCTCCATAGTTGCGCTCCTTGTTTTAAGCTCTAATAACAGCTACTTTGCGATCGCAAAACCAGACAGAAGAGGAAGCTTGATGAAATGTACGACCAGCTAAGAACTGAGTACGAGTCAGTGAAACGCTCAGCCATCCAGCCAGTGAGCAACTTCTACCCGAGAAACGAACCGGACTTTTTCTCAAACCCAGCAGTTAACATGATGGATAACCGAGACCCTATTCGCAAAGGTAAATCTTTTTCTTCCCCGAGTCATTTAAGTGGTTTATGATAATCAAGTTCTTATTTTCGGTTAGATATCCCCAAATCAAGTTGACTTATTTGAAGCAGATCGGTTGGTTTCATCGCCTGCAACACCAGGGCCAAGAGAGGAGATATGGCCAGCGAGACAGAACAGTTCGAACTCAAGTCCATTTAACATGTCCGGAGGCTCACCAGCCAATCAAAACGTAATTCCAACTGAAGTTGGGAACAGGAGATCAAACGTACATCATCCCGTATTTGGTGGAGGTGGCACCGCTAACCCTTCAATGACACTGAGAAACTTGATTCTCTCCCCAATAAAACGACCTCAGCTATCTCGTAACAGAGCTCAACTCTTCACGTAAGCAAGCAGTAACCCCCATATGCACACATCATATTTCACCTCCTTTAGTCGATCCAATAGTTGGTTCTTTTTCTTCTTAGGTTGTAAGGGTTAAGGGTCTGTCAGCAGCTGCCTTGAAGGGAAACCCTAATATCACAATCAGTAAGTGATTCGTTTCGCCTTTATAAAGCTTTTCTCTTAGGGTGGGGGAAAAAACGAATACGCATCGGAAAGAATAACAGATGTGATGAGAGACCTAAGAAGTTTAAGCACACACATTTCATGTTATAGCTTACTGGTTGTGCCTCCGTTCTATATTGTCCGCACAGCTTCAACTTGACTTGATGTAGAATTTTGGATTCGACGTGCTATCTTGTCGGATCATCAAAGCCATAGTTTGAGCGATTCTGATTGTGAATCGCTATGCTCATCGATACAGATACATATGAATCGGTAACAAGAGATAATAAAGAACCTCCGATGCAAAAGAAACCACTCATAAAATTATTAGAAAGAAAGATGCGTCTTTAGCAGGGTCAGGAGTCCTACAGGTATGACACTGTAATAAAAAGGGGCTCAAAGCCCACCTCTCAAGCTCAGAAAAACACTAAATAAAATCTATATGATCTGAGAGAGTTCAGAGATTTGTCTCATAGGTCGACAGTT